GAGCAAAGACCTTATTCATTTGTCTCACTATTGTTTCTTAGGTTACTTGACACATGGAAAGCGATTAATACTTATTTGTGGACTGAATGACACAGCTCCATTTCATTCAATTTCCTCCCTTAGGTTTATAAAAAAGTTTCTGAGCCCTGGCCGGTGTGCTCAGTGGTTGGAGCATCCAAAGGGTTGCAGGCTCAATCCCCAGCCCCAGTTGGGGTGCGTACGGAAGGCAACCAATCAATGTGTCTCTCCCCCCCACCCCTTCCACTCTAAATAAAATAAAAAAATTAGCCTTAACCAGTTTGGCTCAGTGGATAGAGCGTCGGCCTGTGCTCATCAATGTTTCTAACTCTCTATCCCTCTCCCTTCCTCTCTGTAAAAAAATCAATAAAATATATTTAAAAAAATAATAAAATAAAAAAATTAATGGAAAAAATATGGAATGCTTGATTTCTCCTAAGCAACAATGCATTGATTAGCCATTCAGCTGTGTGCAAGGATGGCAGAAGAAGTTTCATTCTGAAGTCTACACAAACCATCAGTCAACAAGAGGCACAAATTCATGCCTCCGTGGCTCACCACTGTGTCACAATGTGGCATGAACTAGTTGTTTGTTTTTTTTTAAAATTATAATTTCAGCAAGACTTACAATTTATTTTTAAAAATGGACTGTTGGACACCCTTTGTAGAACCAGGGAGTTCCAAAGAACGTAGCTGGATATGCTGCGAAGTATTGGAGCCTATGGAGAAGAGGGAAGAAGTGGGGGTGGCGGGTTCTCCAAGCCATTTACAATCTGGTGAATTCAGACTTAACCTGGTCACAAGACGCCTGTTGGAGTCTCAGTTTCCCCACTTGCACAGTGAGGTGGTTCATAAGGAGTTCCCCAAACACCAAATCCAGTGGTAACAGTATGGCCCTGCCTGTTATGATTCAGTTTGGGGAAAAAGTAATAAAGACCTTGCATCACTAGCAGAGTCATCATGGGAAGGCTGGTGATGTCCAGGCTCTGCTCTGAGACTCTCCCTGCCAGGTATGACAAACTCTGGCTGAGTCGTTGGTCTCTATTTCCCTTTTGTCTACACAGATATAAGTAAGTGGCACCATACACCACATTTGACATGGGAAGTACTTAGAAATGTTGACATTAGAATGACTCTCTCTAAAATTTTAGCTCGTCTCATAGACATTCTATTGGATAAGCATATATTCCTGAAACATTTCTGCCACCGAGATTATATAAAGGCACCAGTTGTGACTTTTACGTATCACTCATGTGCAATGGAAAGGTCTTCCCTGTAACCTGTTCTCCTTGGTTTTCCACAAAGGAACCATTTCAATCAGGCCAAAAAATTGATTTTCATGGTTTCAGAGAAGCTTTTCTGAAAAAAGTAACCCATGCTAAGTGAAAAGGTCCCCACTTCTCTTCACATCCCCAGCTCCTCATCTCACAAGGGGCCTCTGATGCTCACAGACACTCTGCCCCTACGCCTGCGAACTGCTGAGGTGAGCACACAGGGGGACAGTCTGCTGTTAGGAGGAAGAGCCTGAGGATTGCTCATGCAGTTCCCATTTAGCCAGGGAATTCCCATGCCCTGAGTGTGGCAGGGTGTGTCTTGGGCTCCAGGTGGCTTATCTCTTTGGTATCCTGGGTTTCATGCCCCATGAAGGGAGGCATGGCTGAAGCAGGGCCAGTGCAGCCTCCTCTGAAGCATGAGACCCAGGCCAGGGGGCCCTCTTGTCATGTCTAAGGTATACATTGTAGCTACCCACATCTTCATTCTACAACCTTTTAAGCAATAGGTATAAACAGCACTCTGTAGGGGTATACACGGTGCATGCCTGATTGTATATGAGCAGTCACGACCCAAGACGCCCTACCCACCTCTGAGTGCCATGCTGGAGGCAGCCCAGGACAGTGAGGTGTCTACAGGCACTTACCCTCCTTTACCAGGTGGAGGCAAGTTAAATCATGTGGACGTATGTTATTACACACTCACAGCAACAACTACAGTCCAGGCTTAGTGACTGTCCTCAATTAATAACTACCCAAAAGGCTAACTCCTTCAAGGAGCTCACAGCCCGATAACTAAACCCTCCCCCACCGCCCCCAAATAATTACAGACAAGACAGAAAGCAGTATCGAGAAAGACATTAATAAGACGTCACTCTGAAATCACTGAGGGCGAAAAGGAGGGATTAAGTTCTGCAGGAGGTACCAGGAGGGAACATCCGAGTCAGGCTTTGGAAGGTCGGTAATACATCAGCATTCCTTATGCTGTAAAACGTCAGTTTCGAATCAGTTGACTTGCAATGCCTTTAACATTCCACAGATTAAGTCAATTCCCAGTTCCTGTATGACATAACCCACGAAAAAATGTGTATTTTCAGGAAGTGGAAAAATAAATACCAGTTTGGTCTGGAAAATTGCGATTCCAAGTCTTTATATGTCACCCTGTGTATGTGAACCAATACATCACTATGCTAAATGGACTTTTCCCCTTTAAATAAATAAATAAATAAAAGAAACGGGGAAAATTTGAAATGCAGTACCCTGTAAGAATCATACCTTTTATTATTACCATTAAATTCCAACCCTCACTTTCAAGGAAAGTCTGCATTTGTTCCAGTGTCTTTTTTTTTTTTTTAACTTTATACAGAGTAAGCAGCACAAACCAGATATTGAAAAATCAGGTTATTTATGATTGCCTTCCCGCTTTTCTCTATGAAATAATTGGCCTGCATTTTCCTGTCTGGACCTATCAACTTTCGGCAAGCATGGAACGTTAATTGAAGTTACCCACAAGCTGGGCGACCATTCCTCAAATTTAATAAGAAAAAAAAAAAATCAAAACCAATTGAGTTTCCTGTTTTTATTTATGGGTTTTAGTACCCACTTAGGGGAATCAAAATAAAGTGTCTCAGTGATGGCTCATTCTTCCCTCAATTAATGTCCTCAAGGAGACCAGTTCCTCCCATCTGCTCCTGGGACGACTGTCCGGATCATCAAGCCTATTCAAGCCTCTCCCCAGGGTCCTGCTACAACATGCGCAAGTACTTCCTGGGGAAGCCTGCAGCCTACCTCACCCTTCCCACTTGGAAACACACAGACTCGGCCCTTTCTGGTGTGATTATATAAGAATACAAGGCTTGCCTGACCCAGCCCCAAACTGAGGCGTGTCCTTTAAACACCATCCTGCGCCTGGTCTTCTCAGAAACGATGGTGCATGCTGGACAAAGAGGAGACAAGTACTATGTATCTTTCAATAATAATGGGGACACATTTCCAAGGAATCCCCTTTCAAAATTCAGATGCTCTAGGTAAAGTATGTCAAACTCGCGGCGGGTGGGCCGCATGCCTCGTTTAAACGTGAGTTTGACATGCTTGCTAAAGTATGTAATGTTGGGGAAAGTATGTAACCTCACATGTGCAGGTGGTAGTATCCCCATTTCAGGGGTGGGGAAGCAGAAGACTTTTGTAAACTGAACATCTTTCTAAGGCAAGTTACCTCTCTCAGAGAATTTCTAACTCCCCTCCCAACTTTCTACTTCTCAGCTGAGGCGTTAATGGAATGTGGGGAAACAATTTTTATTGTGCAGAACATCAGCCTCCTTGTAGCCGCTTCCACCCCCCGAGTCACTGTGATCACGAGGCATGGTCATACATTTCGCAACGACGCTCCACCCCCGGGAGGGTGCTGCCCCTGATGGAGAACCACTTCGAGGCTAAAGATGCTAAACATAAAGGGCACTGTATGCTCCCTGTGCTGTACTTTACATCCTGAGGCTGTTTTTACAACTAGCAACTTGTATGTATGAATCCCTTCCCCCTTTCCACCCATCCCCCCAGTCTCCCTCCCATATGTATGGTGTCAAGTGGGTACTAGACATATGGGGGCGGGGGTGGGGATAACTTCATAAGTTATAGAAATGTCTTATCACTATGCTGCACACCAGAAACTAATATAATATTGTTTGTCAACTGTACTTGAACCATGTTAAGGCAGAACTCAATGAAAATAAAACATAAAAAAGCTGGATTATATGTGAAAAATGACATATTTACCCAAGAGGATTCTTTGTCTTAAGGCTTAATCTAATGCTTTGAGGGCCATTTCTATAGTCATCATAGAATCAAAGGGATCCTCCACATCAACTCGATGCCCCAGATCAGTAGCACAGCAAAGGGCATTCCTTGCTTATTTTTTAAACCTATGCATGAATTCACTGTATGTAAAGCAGGCTTTTCAAAGAGCAGGGTTATCAGTGCCTACATCCAGGCTCCTCTTTTTATCTTTTGGGTGCAGAAGTTTATAAAAATTCATCTCAGAAACAATGAACTAGAAGGAGAAATAGAAGCTACACCAAAGTCAATAGCTATTTTGTTTTTTTGGGTCTGAATGAGACATAGAACAGGATATCATAACTGTAATGCTTTAGCAAAACAGAGCCCTTTCTCTTCTGGCCTGGCTGAGCCTGTGCCCGGGGCAGGGTGGTGCTACTGGTTTATGGGCCATCCAAGTTCAATGCACATTTAATTTTTTTTTTTCCACAGTTGACACCAGAGCTTCATAGGAGTGCTTTCACACCCTTGTGCAGGCACCCTGGATGCTACTCCCACCAGGATGCTGCAGACAGGTCAAGGTTCCTGGTGCTCTCTTTTCCCCGACCTTGGGCTGTACTTCCCCTGACATTATATATACGCAGCTCTGAAAAGAGCGTTATGACAAACAGCATTTGGAAATTTGTAACTGATTCCTTCTAGTGGCTAAGATGCAAGAAGCTATTTCTGCAAAGGGCTCTGTCCACAACAAGCCCAGCCCGATGTGTCTGTAGCTGTGAGCAGAATGCTTTCCTCCTCCCCAGGGCTATAGAAAACAGTGCAGAGGTTCTGCCCTCCAGCTGACCACCGGTAATAACAACATTAGGGGCAGGGAATGGGGGAAGTTTATCATTCAAAAGAGGAAAAACGAGTTTAAGGAAAGAACAGCACTTTCTCACTCACCACTGAGGTCAGAGCCATCTGAAAACTGTAGATGCGGGCAAGGCCGAAGTCAGCCAGTTTTATTTGTCCGCTGCTGGTCACCAGAATGTTCTGTGGTTTTAGATCACGATGCACTACTCGGTGAGAATGAAGAAAGTCCAGACCTCGGAGAAGCTGAAACATCATATCCTAAATAAGACCAAAGGAGAAAATCAATACACAGTCAAAACAGAAGTGCAACCTGCCAAGCCCTCGGCGCTCAGGGGAGTGCCTGGCACACAGAAAGCATTTGAGAAACATTTGCTGAATGAATGAATCCGTCTCCCTTCCTACCTCTTGACTCTCCCATTCTCAAGATCACTACAAAAATGTTTACTCTGGAGCTGTACTTTATTAATGAAAGGACAATTTAAAAATAGTTTCAGATGGCATAGGAAATATTCTGGAAGAACATATACCAAACTGGTGTCAGTGGTTAATGCTGGGGAGAGGAACTGGGAGAAGTGGTGGGGAGAGGGGAATATTTTTTACTTCGTATACTTCTATATGGTTTAGTATTTGATCTCAATAGTTGAAGTTAGTGAATAATAATAATATTCATAGTAATTATTATTTTATAGCACCACATATTAAGCTGACACTGTGTCAAGCACTGTTCTAAGTAACTTCTATTTAGTAGCTCACTCAAACCATACCACATTAAGGTAAATAATATCATCACCCCATTTTACAAGTCAAGAAAGTGATACACAGTATGTAATTAGCCCAAAGTCACACCACTAGCAAGAGACAGTTTTGATTCAGAAAGTCCAGAAAAAGTGAATTCAAATTCCCAATGCACTCCTTTATCAGATCAATGATGGGAGGAGTTGTGGGTAAAACCAGATAAGCCATTTAACCTCGCTGAGCCTCAGTTTTCCCATCTGTAAAATGGCGAAGTACCAAAACCTATTTTGTAGGATCATTGTTTGTAAAGCACTAAGCATAGTAGCAAGCATTCAATACATGGTAGCTGTTATTGCCATACTTAACCAGCATAAAGCAGGGGGCATTCAGAAAATAAACCAATAAAATCACATCTCTTTCTAATATTAGAACTGATAAAATTAGATAGAACATTTAAAACTCAGAAACAGTGTCTGAAAGTAGGAATTCAAAATTTGACCGTGATACGATACTCTGAAATCTGGGGTTAATAAGATTGATCTACCTCTCAAAATATTGTGAGAATGGTGTATACAAGGGAGGACAGACGTTATCTTGTTCATATAAAGGTTAGAAAAATGATTAGGCAGCATCATGGGCTTCACGGCTGTGGGGTGATGTGGTGTGAGGACACACACTAATCAGTAGCTGGACCACTAAGCCCCTCGCTGAGAACAGCATATTTGGTTATTGGTTTAAGGTACTAGTTCTTCCTTTAGAGATGGGAGTTCTGTTTTCACATCCCAGCTTGTTTATAATTGAAGCCTTAGCTTCTCTATTTACATAATGGAGAAAACAGTGCTTCCTTTTCACACCATTATGAGATTTAAATGAAGTACTGTATGCAAAGGGGTTATGAAGTTTCTGGCACATGGTATCATTTAACTGTGATAATTGTTAAAATGTCCTGTTTCCTGGGGGAGACAGAGTCACAAGCAACCACAGGAAAATGTGGTCAGTGCCATCAGGTCAGGGCACAAAGGGCTAAGGGTGGGTATGCAATGACACCGTGAACTGGGATCTTCCTGAGATCCACCTAGATGGGCACAGTCCTCCCCGCTTCCCCGCATTTCACTCTCCACTGTTTCCATGACCCACAGTTAACTATGGTCCTAAAAAATTAAACGGGAAATTCCAGAAATAAACAATTCATATGTTTTAAATGCTCGTCTGAGTAGTGGGATGAAATGTGTGCTGCCCCACTCTGTCCCACCTGGAACACGGGTCATCCCTTTGTCCAGCGTGTCCACACTGAATACACTACCCGGCTGTTAGTCACTTGGTAGCCCTCTCAGTCATTAGATTGGTTAACAGATACAGAGAGAGAGAGAGAGAGAGAGAGAGAGAGAGAGAGATATGGGTTGGGGGTGGGAGAGGAAGGGGAAGAGGGAGAGAGTGAGCACATTCTCATAACTTTTACTACAGCATAATGTTATAACTGTTCTACTTTATTAGTTATTGTTAATCTTTTACAGTGCCTAAGTGATAGGTTAAACTTTATCATAGGTATGTAAGTACAGGAAAAAACATAGTATATATAGGGTTTGGTACTATTGTGGTTTCAGGCATCCACTGTGGATAAGGGGAAACCTACTATCTTCTGAATCTCCAAAGGTGAAAACTTTGGGAGAAGACTGTACTGTCCACCTATAGTCAGTCCTTCGAGACTTAAGAACCACTATAGGCCAAACAACAATGAATAAACATGAGTGTGAAAATGAAGCACAAAACGTTAAGGAAAGTACTCTTCCGCTGTGGCAAATAAGTCTTTATTGAAAACATATGCACACACTTGTAAGCACTAAATTTTAAATAGCATGACTAACCTAAAGTAATGTTATGCTGGTTCATCATTTTTAGCTTCTTGTATACCGAGTACCAACAATTTAAAATGGTACAAAGAATAAATCTGCTTGGCTCAGTTGTCACTGTCCAAACAATAAGCAGCAAATTAGCAGAACAAACATTTAAAAATCTGAACTAATTAATTAATAATAAGGCTCATCTAACTTTATAAAAATCCTGGACTACAGAGTAAATAAATGTGCACTGCTTTTATTTGTGCATTTATTTATAGCACATACTATATATTTTTTAAAATTATAAAATTGGTGTATGCTTAATGCAATAAATTATAAAATTTTAAAAAATTCCATAGGAAGGACAAAAGTCACTCAAAATCCTACCCCTTAGAGAACAGAGAAATCTTCACTCTTAAATAATTTTTGTGTCTTTCTTGTCTGTGTTTCAAAAATCAGATGTAGGTATAAAAAGAATATATGGTTATATTATTATAATTTACATAAGTACTATAATCATAATATAATTTATATGAATATTATACATTTGTGCCATAGTATATTAAATGTTTATAAATAAAAATGGTTATTATTCTATACATATTATTTTGTGGTTCTTTTAAAAAATGTAATAATTCATTGTAAATATGCTGCCACTACAACAAAACTTCTACAAAAAAGTTTTTTATACAATTTGATTTTTAATGGCTGCATGCTTTTCCACCCTGCAATATACCATAATCATTATTTGTTTTTAGTTGTGTTATTTTGGAACCTGTACTAAGAGTCTAGTTCTCCTTTGTTTAAAGGGGAACGCAGATGAAAATGACTTAATATTGCATCTAAGCACGGGTTAAGCGGTGTGAATCCACATACTTGCACTAGAAATTGATTCCATGTAAGTGATGCCTATAAATATAGGAAAAGTTAGTTCTACACCAGAATTACCATTCTTCAGATTTTGTTTTGTTTTTTTTTGTTAGCAAACAGGGTTTTCTTTTAAACCTAGAATATCTAGCCACAAGAAGAGTTTCGAACTAGTGAGCTTTGAATTAATTAACAATTTAAAAAAAATCTTGCCAAAAATCTCATTCCCTTCAGTAATTTAATTGTGAGGTAAGTTGATGAACATAATGGACCTGTAGTAAGTATGATTTGGGGACCCCCCTCAGCTTTAACCATCACTCATTGGAACACCTAATCTCAAACACGCACTCAATTATCTCAGGAACTCTGGTCACAAGACATGGTCCCAGTTTTTGAGGATGATATGAACGAGTAAGTCGTAACACTACACAAGGTATGAAAAAACACCTTTCCTTCAGAATCACAAGTAGTGCTCCGATCAAAGACATTTCCCAGGATTCTCTACTTACATTATCTGTTCTATCTCAACTTACAGTATCATGAGACACACTTTTAAATGAGCTCCTCAAGATGTTAATCTAAATTAATCTGTTATATACAAGGCTCAAATATTTCACAGTAATCTTAGTGACACAATGCGGAGATACTGCCAATGAAGGCTCTTTAAGTTAAATGTAGGTTAAGCCTTTTTATGTTACAGCGCACAGTCCTGGAAGAAAAGGTTTGAATACCCAGCCTTCCTAATGATAAACAGTCCCCTGGGGCCTCAGTCTGTATCTTTCTGAAATGCATGACGGGAAAGCATGTTTCAACAGGACTGCATCATGGAATGAAGTCTGACTTCCAGTGACTTTAGGTGGTGTTTTTGTCCTTGGCAACTCCCCTAAAAGACTCTGGACTTCAGTCTGAAATCTTTAAAGCCTTGTAATTTTTTTTAAGTGTTCTAGAACTTTAACCCTCTTATTTCTTTAAAATCAAAACAAACTAAAAACTTTTCTAAAAGGAAAAAGTTTTATTGCTGGGTCTTTTTCCAACTACAAAATAGTATAAATAGGTCCAAAATATACTAAAAACACTCAATTTATCCCACACAGTAAATCACAGAAATGACAGCTCTCAATAGATAATTTTTGGATATATCTACTTAATTGAAGTGCCATATTCACATCCTTACAGTTTTAGCCACAAAAATATACATGCTTAGTTTATCTATTAAACAATTTAAAATAAGACATATACAACTTTTAGACAAAGATAATCATTTTTCCCCTCCTTATAATGTGTAAACCACAGTCTTTTCAAATTTGTCTCCATGTTTCGACAGAATTGTCTTTACAATGATTTACTGTTTCCTATGAAGGGTATCAGAGGAGGTTACAGTTTAAAACAGATCACACATAACAAAGGTTTTTTATACTGAACCGATAACATGTTGACTTCTGGTAAGGGTTATGATTACAGGAAGAGAAGTGAAAGATCACAGGAGCCTATACATAACAGGTGATGATAAAGTCATAGAGAAAGTAGAGGACTACTGACAATAATGAGGGCTAGTCCCAGGATCGTTTCATTTTTTATAATTTT